AGATGCTTCCCTCCTCCCAATCATCGAACTCGACTCACCTCCTCCTGTTCCTCTCCCGCTGCCGAACCTGGGCCTGGACGTACCTGTCGATCCGGCTCAGGATCCGAACCTGTGGCAGCCGTTTCATGTGAAGGGCACGCCGAGGCTGGTCACGCTTTTTTCGGGCGAGTGCACGGCGTATTTCGATTGGCAGACGCTCGGGCTGATGTACAGCTTCCGACGGAGCGGGCAGCCCGGAAAACTTGTGCGGCTGCTGGCTTGTAACGAGGACATGCTTAAGGAGTACAAGGGTCTCGATTTGGCTCCAACTATGGTGGTGCCGAATTGGGATCACGACCCTCACAACGGTGACTGGTGGGTGTGCAATGGGCTTGAGGTTTCGGGGGAGGAGGGGTGGAAAGGGGTGGGAAGGGGTGGAAAAGGTGGCAGGTGTTTGCTGTGCTTTAGGAGTACAAGGGGCTGGATTTGGCTCCAACTATGGTGGTGCCGAATTGGGACCACGACCCTCACAACGGAGACTGGTGCGTGCGCATACTTGTTCGTTCAGTGAGCTTCGGGATGGGGAGAGTGGGTGAGAGGGGTTGGTGTTGGGTTGGACCTAGCACCACCGACTATGGTGGCGCCGAAACGGGACTATGACCCCCACAACAGAGAATGGTGGGTGTGCAGTGGGCTTGTGGGGTGTGAGGGAAGGGAGGGGGGAAGGTGGGGAGGGTGGCGAATATTCTCTCAACTTACGGAGTATAAGGGGCTGGATCTGTGTTGACTTTTGAGTCGACTCAAAAGTCAACTGGATCTGGCACCGACTATGGTGGTGTTAAACTGGGATCACGACCCCCACAACGGAGACTGGTGGGTGTGCAGTGGGCTTGTGGGGTGTGAGGGGGTGGAGGGAAGGGGGAGGGGAGGGGGTTCTCATCTCACCTTAAGGAGTACAAGGGGCAGGACTTGGCTCTCTGACTATGGTAGTGCCGAACTGGGATCATGACCCTCACATCACAACGGGGACTGGTGGGTGTGCCGTGCAGGGTTGCTTGGTGGCAAGTGAAGGGTCACGGAAAGGGCGGGAAAAGAAGGGATGGAAAGGGCGGCAGGTGTTTGCTGTCCGTGGGAGTACGGAGTACAAGGGGACTTTTGAGACGTCTCAAAAGGGGGGGGGAGGGGAGTTGGTTCTCACCTCAAGGAGTACAAGGTGCTGGACCCTCAGGGGAGCCAGGTCCATAGTCCGTGCCAGGTCCGTAGTCCGTGCCAGGTCCATAGTCCGTGCCAGGTCCGTAGTCCGTGCCAGGTCCATAGTCCGTGCCAGGTCCATAGTCCGTGCCAGGTCCGTAGTCCGTGCCAGGTCCATAGTCCGTGCCAGGTCCATAGTCCGTGCCAGGTCCATAGTCTGTGCCAGGTCCAAAGTCCGTGCCAGGTCCATAGTCCGTGCTAGGTCCATAGTCCGTGCCAGGTCCGGGTGCCGAACCTGGACGTGGCACAGACTATGGTGGTGCCGAATTGGGACCACGACACCCACGACAGAGACCGGTGGGTGTAAAGATGTGCCTATGAGTTCCCTCCCCAATCCGCATTCATTTCCACCCTCCACCTTCTTTTACTTACGAGGTGACTTTTGAGTCGACTCAAAACGAGGTGACTTTTGAGTCGACTCAAAAGTCACCTTTTGAGTCGACTCAAAAGTCACCACCCTCCACCTTCTTTTTCTTACACTTTGCCCCCCTTCCCCCCTTCCCTCCACTCCTCTTTCCAGCCATCCCACCATCAAGAAGCCAGTGGGGGTCTAGTACTGGTTCCACAACAGCCCGTTACCTGAATGCGTACTTTTGAGAATTCTCAAAAGTCACTACAATATAGTTCTCCTGAACTACCACTCCTCCCCCCCCCCCACACACGCACGCATGCACGCACGCACGCACGCACGCACACACGCCCCCCTCTTTTCAGGTGCTCCGTCATGAATGAGCCTTTGGGGGTCAAATACTGGCTTGACAAAGGCTCATGACCTCCTTTGACAACAGCCATGGACTGCTTCCCTTCCCATGATCTCCTTTGACAACAGCCATGGACTGCTTCCCTTCCCATGATCTCCTTTGACAACAGCCATGGACTGCTTCCCTTCCCATGATCTCCTTTGACAACAGCCATGGACTGCTTCCCTTCCCATGATCTCCTTTGACAACAGCCATGGACTGCTTCCCTTCCCATGATCTCCTTTGACAACAGCCATGGACTGCTTCCCTTCCCATGATCTCCTTTGACAACAGCCATGGACTGCTTCCCTTCCCATGATCTCCTTTGACAACAGCCATGGACTGCTTCCCTTCCCATGTCCTCTCTTCTCCCCACTCCCCCCCCCATTCTCCTCCCCTCCCTCTCAGGTACTCCGCCGTCAACAAGCCAGTGGGCGTCAAGTCCTGGCTTCACAACAGCCCCGCTCTGAGTCGACTCAAAAGGGCGTCAAGTACTGGCTTCACAACAGCCCCGCTCTTCTTTCCCTGTCCTTGCCTTTCCCCACTTCCTCAACCCAACCCCCCTTTCCCCCCCCCTCCCCCCTCCCCCCTCCCCACTCCCCCCCCTCACCTCCCCCTACCCCTCTTTCCAGGTATTCCGCCATCAACGAGCCAGTGGGAGTCAAGTATTGGCTTGACAACAGCCCTACACTGCCTTCCCTTGACCCCTCTTTTCCACATTCCCTTCCCCCCTCTCCCCCTCCCCCTCCCCCTCCCCAGGTACTCCGCCATCAACAAGCCAGTGGGAGTGAAGTATTGGCTTGACAACAGCCCCGATGCGCAACTGGTCGATTTTGTCCTCATCCTAGACGCGGATCAGATCCTCCGCCGCCCGATCCTGCCCTGGGAGCTAGGCGCCGAGCGCGGCCGCCCGGTTTCCGCTGACTATGGGTGAGTGAAGTGAGTGAGTGTGGGTAGTGGGTGGGAGAGGCCTCCGGATGAGAGTGAGTGAGTTATAGGAGAGGCGATGAGAGTGAGTGAGGGAGCGACAAGGTTGCGCATGAAGCACCCCAAGCAAGCACTGCGACAAAGTGGGAGGGATGGAGGGAACATAGGCCATTCACCTCGACGGTCTCATTGTTCGCCGCTTCTCTCCCCGTTTTGGTCCCTTTCAACCCACCCCAGATACCTGATCGGCTGCGACAACATCCTGGGCTCGCTACACATGAAGCACCCCAAGCACTGCGACAAGGTCGGGGGGTACATTGCCATCCACGTGGACGACCTGCGCCTGCTGGCCCCCCGGTGGATCGCCAAGACAGAGGAGGTAGGGTGTGGTTCCGGTGACTCATGTAGCATGGTTGGTTACTCATGTGCGGCACTGCGACAAGGTCGGGGGGCACATTGCCATCCACGTTGATGACCTGCGCTGCGCCTGCTGGCCCCTCGGTGGATCGCCAAGACAGAGGAGGTTGGGAGGGAGCGCAATGAGATAGACCGGTCCAGATCTATGAGATAGACTGGACGAGTAAATTTCCTTGTCCAGATCCGGTCCTCGTTACATCGGACTCTGAATTGAGTTGAGTCGAGGTGGCTCCATGTGACTCACTTGACCCGATTTCAGCTTCGATCTAATCCCACCCAACCCAACCCGACCCAACCGAACCCAACCCGACCCAACCCAACCCGACCCATCCCGACCCAACCCGACCCGACCCGACCCGTCTTGACCCGAACCATCCTGACCTGGCTGACCTGACCCGACCCGGACCATCCTGGCTTCGGCTCGGCCTGGCCTGGCCCGACCCATCCCAACCCCGCCCGACCCGACCCAACCCGACCCATACCGAACCTGCCAGAACTTCTGTCTCTCCTCTTCCCCCATCCCACCCCTTCACAGGTGCGAGCGGACAAGGAGCACTAGACCACCAACATCACGGGGGACGTGTACGGGCAGGGGTGACTTCTGAGTCGACTGAAACATCTCTTCTCTTCTTGTTTGTTTCGGTCGCGCCCCACCCCCTTTACCAGATGCGAGCGGACAAGGAGCACTATGCAACCAACATCACCGACGACGTGTACAGGCAGGAGTGCATGTTGAGTCTCTTTTGAGACGTTTCAAAACACGTGTACAGGCAGGAGTGAATTCTGAGTCAACGTGAATGTGCTTCTCTTTCTTGTCTGCTTCTCGCTACCCCACCCTCCCCTCTCACAGGTGCGAGCGGACAAGGAGCACTATGCCACCAACATCACGGGCGACGTGTACGGGCAGGGGTGGATCAGCGAGATGTATGGCTACTCGTTTGGTGCCTCGGATGTGAGTATCCCACCAAGTGGTTCGCACCACTTAAGGGGTCTAGCTGTGTGAGCAGACGAGAGGGGATTGAGCACTGACGTACGGGCAGAAGTAGATGTGCGAAATGTATGGCTATTCTTTTCATGCCTCTGATGTGAAACCGGAGCATTGCGTAACATGGCATGGCATGGCATGGCATGGCATGGCATGGCTAGGGACAATCAGTGCCGTATGCATGTGCTGCCACCAGGTTACTGTGTGATGGTTGTAACACCATTCGGGGGTAATAGAGGATTCACACGATGTTATTGTGGGCAGCATCTTGCTGTCCATCCCTTTCTGTCTCTCCTCCCTCCTCTACTCTCACCCCCTTCATCGCCTCTTTTCTCAAACCAATTTACACCACGTGGTGATAGACAGCATAATGTTCTACCCGGGCTATCACTGTTGCTCTCACCCCTTTTCCTCTCCTCCTCTCCTCCTCTCCCCCTTGCCTCCCCTCTCCCTCATGCCAATCTACGACAGCATTATGCTCTACCCGGGCTATCCCCTCCCCTCTCCTCCTCTGCTTTCTAATCTCTCCTCCCGTTTTCCTCCCTTCCCCCCACCTCCCTCACAGGCCAATCTACACCACGTGGTGATAGACAGCATGATGCTCTACCCGGGCTATGTCTCTCTCCTCTCTCCCTCTATTCTTGCTCTCCAACTCCCCCTTTCTTTCCCTCTCCTCCCTCCTCCCCCTCCCCCTCCATCAGGCCAATCTACACCATGTGGTAATCGATAACATAATGCTCTACCCAGGGTATCCCCCCGTGCCAAACGTGGACCCTCGTCTCTTCCACTACGGCCTCGAGATTAAAGTTCTGAATTACTCCTGGGACAAGTCCCGCTTTCGCGACACCCCGCTAGCCCTCACCTGCGGTTACCATTTCCCTGACCCTCCTGACGTTACGGATTTGCCCCCGTTACCCTCTGTGGATTCTGGTGGTGCTGCTGGTGGTGGTGGTAAGGGTGGTATGGGCGGTTTATTTGCAGGGCTTAGGGGTAGAGGAGGGGAGGAGGAGGAGAGGGAGAAGAAGCTGATGGAATTACTAGAGGAGCGGCGGAAAGATTTCATAGTGATCGAGTGTGTTGCGGTGCTGAATCGGGCTTTAAGAGAGTATCACCGGCTGAGGCTTGGGTGCCCTGCGACTGGCGAGAAAAACGTGGGCGTTATGGATCTTACTGGAGCGTCTTATATCGAGTCGGGGAATGGGGGAGGGGGTGTGAGGGAGCTTAGAGCTGATGTGTGGGCGAGAGTGAGAAATGAGGGAGGAGGGATGGAGGTGGAGGAGGACGGGAGGGTGGGGAGGAGCGAGGAGGGGAGTGGGGATGTGGAGAGAGTGGGGAGGTTTGTGGTAGAGAGTGTGGAAGTGAGGGAGAGAGGGGGATTGGAGCGAGGGCTTGTTGTTGGGGTAGAGATGGCAGAAGGCGAGAGGGAGCGGATGGAGGAGAGGGCTGGGGAGGAGGATGGGCAGGAAAGTGAGACAGGAGGGGTTGGAGAGGTGGGGGTAGAGGAGCAGCAAGGGCAGAACAAGCAAGGGAATGAAGAAAACCGTGTTGAACAGCATCCGGAGCTTCAGCAAGGAGAGGAGCTATTGAAAGGGGCTGGAAACGGTGAAGGTGGATTGGGTAGAGTGCAGCAAGGAGGTTCCGGGGTAGAAGAGGCGGATACATTCAAAAGCAGTGTCGGTGGTATCAGAGCACAGAGTGGCAGGATTCAACAAATCCGAGGGCTCTTACGTGGCAGGCGATCATTGGTTGGAGGAGATCTGAGCTCCGCAGGTGATATGGCGGCTGGTGGGGGGGAAGGGGGAGAGGGCACCACAGAAAGTGGGGTGGATTGGGTGATGTGGTTGAAGCGGTATAAGAGATGGCTTGCTGCGCCGTGGGTGCTGGCTGCTGTGATGCTGCTGCTGGTGGTTACCAGGAGGCGGCAGCGGAAGCGGAGGGAGGGGAGGGAGATGAGAGAAGCGCGGCGGGAAAGGAGGGCGAGGAAGAAACGATTGGAGATCCCTAAGGATGCGACAGACTAACATTTTGGGAAAGGATACATGAGCACGCTAATTAGAGTTGTTGTACCTCTATGCTGTATTATTTAGGTATTTGTGTTCGAAAACGATGGTGTGTCCAGAAGCGAATGTTCTTGTTGGCATGTGCTAATGCTTAAAGCCGGGATCTCAAGTACTTTTTCTGTTTTGCAGTTGGTGAATAGTGCTAGGCTGGGATTGGATGGCGAGGTACAGAAGTTGACGAGGAGTGAAGCGAGGGGTGCGAGAAAAAAACAAGTCTCAGGTTGTTTCCAAGCCTTCTAGGCATGGAAACTGGTTCGGTGCCGAAGCTGAAGTACCAGAGAATGTTTCAGATTCCCGAAAGTCTCAAGTCCCCAGCAATTTGTTTTGCAATTGAATCAGGGGCAAAATGTGGAATGCGTCGCACAGTCAACCCCAAACCCGTCACTCCACTTCGCCCACTCAAACAGGGTGACCCTAGCGTCAACTGTTTTGCAGTTGATGCGCAATTCTTTTACTTGAGATCCTGGCTTTAATGTGGAAGTGCAAGTACAAAGTCTGTGGGTGAGAGTAAGAAATGTTGCGTTTTCTACCAAAAATAGCACCAAAATAGGACTAACATCTACTTCCATTCAAGATTGTTAATAGGATCTGTTTACATGTCAGGGTTCCATGATTCTAAAAATACCAACGACGTCAATCCACAATGTAATGGTACCTGAAAGTAGAAGCCTTTTGTGGTTCTGCCAGGAGCACGGTTCAGTATCAGTTTTGATCTCTCTCCTCCGACTCCCACTAGAAACGCGGCTTATCTGACCTGAGAGGCTCTGACACCCACGCTTTGCCCCGCCTGGTAGCTATTGGTGGTTGGTTTCAGTCAGTCCACGTCTCCTCCAGTACAGTGCCCTAGAAGACTCCATTTTCCAGCCCACGTCCCTGTCGTCACCTGAGACCACAATACCTCACTTAACCGATTGGGGTTTCTATTTGAAAGCGGTAGAACGTAAAGCATCTCACTGAGCCGCATTGACACACGCCCACTGGTGGAAGGTTCTGGTTCCGCTGGGTCTCACTCAACAAATTCAAGCAGCACTTCAGAAAGCAAGCAGCAGGTGAGAAGTCAAGCAGCAACAAAGATACTAAGGGCGTGTGTGATTATTTTTCGAACCTCCGAAAGTTCGAACTTCTAGAAAGGTTATACACGGTGAAATACAATTGAGAGATTTTCGCCACGGTTCAAAGCGGTCTATGTTCGAGCTTTGACCAAAACCCGAAATCACACACGCCCTAAGCAGTATACCATATGAAGTTCAGGTTGAGGCTGCTAGTTCTTCTCCTTGCTCGGATTTGCGTTCCTCGTTGCGTGTTTCTGCTACTGGAAAACATTGTCGGTGACTTCCTCTTCGGCTGCATCGTGGTTCGCAAACGGCAAAAGTTCCCCACTGCCAGCAGGATCGCGTGGCACTTATTCATCACCATCCATACATCAGGTAGCCATTGTTTTCTATTTTATTTTTTTGTTCAACTATTTCCCCTGTCTGTCTTCGAACAATCGTGGCTGACGGGATGTTTTCCCTGTGCTTTCTTGTTCCCCTTTGTGAGACCCCTTCTTCACAAACACTATACCAACATGCCGGACATTAATAGCCTCGCTGCTCCCCTGTCGCCGGACATCATCAACTCCTGCACTGCCTTTCCGTCGCCGAACATCAATTTTACTGTTACCGTCACTGCATTGCCGTCAGCGGAAGCCGTTTATAAGCCGGCCGTCAACACTTGTCGGCCGATTGTTCCGAAATTCACCAATTCGCGTTTCAAGGCGTCTCGAAACACGCCGGTGGGGTCTAACTACACCGCTCCGCCATGGACAAGAAGAAATTTCTCGAGATGGTTAAGAAGAAGAAGGAGCGCGCGGAGATGCGGAGCGGCGGGATGAGCAGCGAGTGGGCGAAGAAGCTGGAGCAGGTGGCCATGCAGGCCGCGGAGGAGGACGCGAGGAAACGGGAGGAGAAGGAGAAGAAACGGCGAAAGAAACAGAAGGAGAAGAAGAGTCGGAAAAGCCGTTCGCGAAGAGACGATCCTTCGGATTCGTCGGGTTCGTCTTCACATGATGAAGATTTGCGTTCGTCCGATCTGGAGTCAGATAGCTCGTCGGAATCAGAGCGGGAGGAGAGGAGACGGAGGAGAAAGAAGCGGCGCGGGAAGAAGCAGAGGAGAGACCGGAGGAGTGAGTCGGAGAGCGAGGAGGAACGGGAAGGGAGGGAGAAGGAGCGGAGGAGGAAGCGACGGAAGAGAAGAGCGCCAGACTCTGATAGTGACGCTGATGCTGGCAGGTACGTATAAAAGAAAAAGGAAATCCTAATTTCTCATTTTGAAGCTTCCCCTCCTGGGGGAGGGGGAGGGGGAGGGGGAGGGGGAGGGAGAGAGGGAGAGGGAGAGGGAGAGGGAGAGGGAGAGGGAGAGGGAGAGGGAGGGCTAGAGGGAGGGGGAGAGGGAGTGGGAGAGGGAGGGGGAGGGGGAGGGAGGGAGGGAGAGGGGGAGGGAGGGAGGGAGGGAGGGAGAGGGCGAGAGAGGGAGGGAGGGGGAGAGAGGGAGGGATGGAGGGAGGGAGGGGGGGGGGAGGGAAATGGGTGCATCAGCAAGTCGTTTTAGCAATCATCCATCCGCGACAGTAGTTCAATCATTTTAGGGCACTGGCCTGTTGGCATCATGTAGCGTGTTCCTGACATGGCACTGAGGTTTATCTGTGTTTCTTTGCAGTGATGGTGATGGTGGAAAGAGGAAGCGCAACGCTCGCTTGACCTCTGGAGATGGCTACAGCTCAGATGATGATGATGACGATAAACGGGAGAGGAGCAGAAGCAGGGGCAGAAAGAAGGAGGAAGGACGGAGCAAGAGCCGGGATCGCAGCCGCAGCCGATCAAGCGACGATAACCACAAGAGGAAGCGTAAGAGCAAGAGCAAGAGCAAGAGCCGGAGCCGCACGCCGGATGTGCTTTCTCACAGGCGCAAAGGTGCCAAGAGCAGGAGTCGAACCCCTGACCTGAAGGGAATACAGGAGGAGCGTGAGCGTGGCATGCGCAGGCCCAAGAGCAAGAGCCGCACCCCGGAGATTGAAAGGGTTGGTTCTGATGCTCATATGAAGATCGGTTCTGGGAATGAGGTTGGGATGGGAGAGGGTGAAGGGGCGGGGTGTGTTGGAGGTGGGGTTGGAGAGGGAACAAAGGCAGGAATGGGGGGAGGAGGAAAAGGGAAAGGTTGGAGGAATGGGTGGAGAGGAGGACAAGGGAGAAAAGGGAAGGGAAAATGGTGGTGAGAGTGGGAATGGACATGAGGAGGAGGGGGAGAGCGGGAAAATGGAATTGGAGAGTGGAGGTTGCGAGAAGGGAGACGCTGTTGTTGAGGGGAAAGTGGGAAGCGGGAAGGGGAAGGGGGGAAGAAGGGGGGAAGGTGGGTGAGGGAGAGGGAAATGGGGTTGAGGGAGGGGGGAAGGGAGGTGAGGGAGAGGGAAATGGGTTGAGGGAGAGGGGAAGGGAGGTGAGGGAGAGGGAAATGGGGTTGAGGGAGGGGGGAAGGGAGGTGAGGGAGAGGAAAGAGGGGATGTGGGAAAGGGAAAAGTGGAAGAGGGAGGGGATGGGGCTAATAAGCTGGTAGCTTGAGTCAGTGTGGGAGATAAAGTGACAAACTTGTGGGAGAAGGGAAGGACATTGTGCATGATGTGAAGCGACAAGCAAGCAGCAGTATCCATATGAAGAAGGCAAGTCCATTTTTATTGGAGGAGCAGTGCAGATCTCGGTTACCAGGACAGCTAATAGATGACTTGAGTGGCGGGTTTTGCTTGTGCTGATTTTTCTATTTAGGTATGTGGCATGCCCTTTTTTTTAGTTATTCATGACATACTACACGTTACAGCCATAACTTGCCTACCGTTTGTGCTTGAAAGCTAGAATATTACCTTAAAGCAGGGGAGCACTTTCCTGGGGGTAGTTTTTGGGGGCATTGTTAGTGGTCCCCCTTTGACGCTCGCTGATTCGATAACGAATTGTACAGGGTACGGAAAGCTGGGGCGAGAGATTCAAACAAGGCTGGCGACGCCAACCTATTTCGCACGGAGGTTGCGTTGGGGGGATACTCCGCGCCAAGGCGGAAATCAAGCCTAGGGCGTAGCGCAACCAAGCAAGTGATAAAGCAAACGGGAGTTGACTGTTGAAGTTTAGGAGCAAGTCATAACCAAAGAGAGTTTCATTTCGTTCAGCTTGAACGCTGAGGCACCGCCTTACCACGCAAATTCATTTCGTACTTAGTCTAGTGCCACTACGACAGAGCATATACGGGTAGATTGCCCGCCTCCCACGAGTACAACGCGCCAAGCCTCATCACATGCTAATGGCGAAATCGCAGCTAGCTCGCGCCGTCATCGTCTGCGCGGCGCGTCGTTATCACGTCGCTGCCTCCTCGCTGTGTCGCCACCTCGCATCCGCCTCCCCAACGCGCCAGAGCCCATCCTCCGCCTCTCCACATTGCCGCCTCACTGCCTCGCCGCCTCGCCACCTCGCCGCTTCGTAAAATTGCCGCCTCGCCGCTTTGCCGCCTTGTTGCCTCGCCACCTCGCCACATCGCCGCCTCGCCGCCCTGCCGCCTCGCCGCCTCACTGCCTCCCCTCTGCCTATCTCCTCCTATCCCGCTCCCCAGTCTGAGAATCTCTTTGTTACGCTCACCTTCCTCCTCACCTAACTACTCTGAACCCTCCCCCCCTCTCCTTCATCCTATGAACCCCCCCACGCCCTCTCCCTCTCTCTCCCCTCTTTCTACCTCCGGCGATCCCTCGGAGCCCTCTCTCCCTCATGTCCCGCCTTCCTTCCCCTGATTTTTCCCCTCCAACCTCATTATCCTCATCCCTCCTTCCCCTCATTTCTCACTCCCCCCCAGGTCTCCACTATATGCTCTCCATCTCTCGCCTTTTGGGTCCTTATTTCCACCTCCTGCTCGTGCGAGGGGGGAGATAACAAGGAGGAGAGATGACCCCCACACACCTGCGAGGTCAATTCCCTCTGTACCCTCCCCTCCCTCTGTTCTGTTCCCTAGCCAGGACTTTACCACCTGCCCTCTTCCCGCAGGTCTAATCTCCTCCCCTCCCCACATCATGTTCCCGCTCTGCCCTCCTATTGGGGAAAAGGTAGAGTGGCAGGTCAGGGGGAACGGAGGTGGGTATGTGGGAAGGAAGGCGAGTGGTAGGTGAAGGAAAAGTTCAACGTAGAGTGGGTTGTGAGGGTGATGGTAGGAGGGTATATGGGAAGGAAGGCGGGTGTTAGGTGTGTGGGTGAGGCATCGCGCAACCTCTCCCCTTGTTGCGTATGCTTCCCCCTCCCCTCCATCCGTAGTTGCGCCTCCCCTCCATCCATAGTTGCGCCTCCCCTGTCCCATACTTGCATTCTCATCTAATTCTTTCTGCCCTTCCCATTCCCAGAAAATTCTCGCCCACACTACGAGACCCCTGAATGCGATGTCAGCCCACCTCCAATCTGCCCTTCTTCCCGGCCTTAGTACCCCCCTCACTGCCCCATTCTAGTCCTGCTTTCTACCCCTGGTTCCCCTTCTACCGCCCGTACCATGTCGTCCCCCCCTCCCAGCCTGTCCAAATGCAGCTACCTTAGCCGTGTCACATGGCCCATCCACCTCCCCTTGTCCAGGTCGCACCACCCCATTCCCCCTCACAGAGCACCTTCTCACTCCCTCACAATGCGCAACCCTTCCTCTCCCTTTGCTTCCATTCCCCTCTAATCCCTTCCCTTCCCTTCCCTTCCCCTTACCTTCATTCCGAACCCTTCTATTCCCTTCCCTTCCCTTTCCTTCCCTTTTCTTCCCTTCCCTTCCTTCCATTCGTGTCTCTTCACCTCCCTGCCTCCGTTTTGTTTTCTCCCTGCCTCACCATCTCTTCTCCCTGCATCACCATCTCTTCTCCCTGCATCACCATCTCTTCTCCCTGCATCACCATCTCTTCTCCCTGCATCACCATCTCTTCTCCCTGCATCACCATCTCTTCTCCCTGCATCACCATCTCTTCTCCCTGCATCACCATCTCTTCTCCCTGCATCACCATCTCTTCTCCCTGCATCACCATCTCTTCTCCCTGCATCACCATCTCTTCTCCCTGCATCACCATCTCTTCTCCCTGCATCACCATCTCTTCTCCCTGCATCACCATCTCTTCTCCCTGCATCACCATCTCTTCTCCCTGCATCACCATCTCTTCTCCCTGCATCACCATCTCTTCTCCCTGCATCACCATCTCTTCTCCCTGCATCACCATCTCTTCTCCCTGCATCACCATCAGTCCTCACGCCGTTGTCGTACAACGCGCGATGCTCAAACGAGGCATCTTTTAATTGCTGAAATCACTGTGCTGCCATGTTGGTGCAGCCGTCCTTTTCCTAGTGCGAGGCGGGACAGAAATCAAACCGAAAATTGTTGTTCGAGACCAAGAAAAGTTGTACTGTGCACAACAAATGAACGTTTTCCGAGGTTGATGGGAACCCAGCCTGCTTTCAATTTCAAGCAGTGGTTGTGTTTTCCTTCAGCTTTCCTTCTTTGCCGCCGGTCAGCACCAGGCTTGATGTTTCGTGCGCTCAACAAGATTTCTTGGTTCGGCTCAGTCGCAAACTGTGGGCTTTGCCGAACCTAACCAGCGCGTGATTCCCGAGCGAAGCAATCTCACAACACCGAGGCGAGCCGAGGCTAGTATTGGACCACAACACCTCACAAAATCCACGACTCGGCGACAGAACCCGTTGCCAATCTTCTCATTTACCCGCTGCCCGCATCAACAATTCAACAAGTGGTCCCACCAGAGATTCAGACACATTACGAGGTTGGTTGGGAAAGAACGGCCTTTCTTTCGTGGAGCCGAGTAGGGAGCTGGAAAATATTTCTGTTACCGGGCACACAATGTTATCCTAGAACCTTGACGGGTGGTTTGCCAATCTAGAGTGGCGGATCTTTTGTCTCCACACTCCAGCCTTCCCCTCCGTTTCTCCCTAGGATTTCGTTCGTGAAGTGTGTTTCCCAGGGTATATAAAGGTCTATAGCGGTTCAAAGCGGGACGGAGATTGGACTTCTCTGAATTTCAGAGCAGCACATTCAACCATTTTTCACAAGGCAGAGTGAGGACTGAGCTCACCCCAGAAACACATAACTAAAATGACCGCTTAGTAATGCACACTATTACTAGGGTGTGGTGTGGTGAGTGGCATGTCATACTGCTTATTATGCAAGATAACGAATCTCTACCCTTCCTGTACAAAGTGCATTAGGCATTGTAGTTATGGCGACAACAGTCGGGAGTAATGGCGGCAACGGCGGGAGTCCGAATCACGGCAACGGCCAAACCAGCGAAGGTGCTGGAAGCATCAGGAGCGACGCAAAGAGTCACAGTGTTATTGGCCTGCGCCGTTTCTTGTCGTCTAGCAAGCATGCGCTACACTCAGTCTTCGACCACCATCATCATGACCGGCGAACCCGCTCCGATAAAGAACGACCCGATAAAGGAGGTCAGGCCGAAGGCCGGGCGAGCCAGAACCGAGCGGCTTTCACGGCGTCGTTTTCGGGCTCGGCGAATATGTCCATAGAGGATATTGCACTACCTGCCAGCGCGCTTCGCGGCTCGGAAGAGCAGGCGAACGCGATGCGGCGACAGCTGGAGCGACAGGCTAACGCGTATCGGCTCAGTTCGGCTAGTAACAGTATGTCCTCGATAGAAGGCGCAGGCCGGCCTGAAAACGGGGCAGCGGGGAGTTCAGCAGAGGTGGTTAGCAGCGCACCCGCCGGTTCACTGACAACCGTTGATTCTAATGACGCAAATACTCCATCAACGGCGGAGAGGGGCGAAGCGGTGGAACCTTGAAGCGGAGCCAGCCGCGGAATCGGTGCAGCCACTGGCGGAACCGGCGCAGCCATCAGTGGAACCGGCGGAGCAGTCCGCGGACGGCCGAGTGCCCTCCTGCGCCGAGGAAAGCGGGGGGAGAGAGGGTAACGAAGGCTCTTGTAACGAATCTACGCCGACAGGCTCCACGGAGTTGACTTCCGCGGAATTGCCCCCCCCGCCGTTGGACTCCGCAGAGCTGGCTTCCGCCGCTTCCGCGGACACAGCGGAGGGCGCCCCCAGCGCCCCCAGCGCGGACGCCGTTGCTAGCGCCGAGGAAGGTCAGAAACCGGAAAACGCTCCTTCCAACGAGGATGCTTCTAGCGCGGATGACACGTCATCCGTGAGTAGCGATCAGCCGGAGCCGCCGGAGGAGTTTATTTGCCCGCTCTCCCTCGATATAATGTTCGACCCCGTTATAGTGGAATCCGGGCAGACGTACGAGCGTGCTTTTATCGAGCGCTGGGTCGCGGACGGCCACAAGACGTGCCCTAAAACGCGCCAGCCGCTCCCGTCGGGCGCGATAATACCGAATCAGATCCTTCGCGCGCTGATCACCGATTGGTGCAAGCGGAACCGCGTTGCGCCGCCGACTCCGATCTCCGCGGACGATGTCGCGCTCGCGTTCTCCGCTGGCGGCGCCAAGGGCGCGGAAGGGGGCGCGGGGGGGCTGGCGGCGCAGCGCAGGCGGGAGTATGCGGCGGCGGCGGTGCGCGCAGCGGCGGTGGCGGTGGAGTCGGAGCGCAGGCAGCGCGCGCTGATGGAGCAGGTGATGGCGGACCGCGCGGCGGCGGCGGCGGAAGGGCGGAGGGCAGACGGGCGGCCGGGGGACCGCGCGGCGGTGGACGAGCTCACGACGCGCCAAGCGCGCATTCAGCAAATGCGCGCAGCCGCGGGGCAGGGGCAGGGGCGCGGAGGGGGGAACGCGGGCGCGGACGCCCGCGCAACTGCAGCTGGGGCGGCTGCGGGGACGGGGAGGGGAGGGGCGGCGGAGGAGAGGGGGGGCCAGGCGGGTGCGGGGGGAGACATGGGGGGAATGGCAGACAGAACCGCTAGGGTTTCCGCTGGTGCTTCCGCTGGTGCCCCTGCTCCTGCCGAACCTCCCTCCAGACCTGCCGCAGCTCGCGTGGCGGCTCGGACGGCGGCTCGGGAGGCTGACGATGCCGAGGACCGATATGGGAACGGGATTCCGGACCACCTGCTAGCAGGCTTGAGAGGAGGCTCGGGAGGAGGTTTGGGAGGGGCTGGGGGAGGTTTGGCCCTGGCCGGCTGGCCTGGGAAACTAGCTATGAAAGCCGCTATATTCAAGACTCAGGCTTGGCCAAACCCGAAAGAGAAGGAGGGTGGGGGAGGGGGAGGCGGAGGGGGAGCAGGGGGGAGTGGGGGAGGGGCAAGAGCGGATGTGACTATGTCGGGGCCTATTGGTGTGGGAGCAGGGGGAGCAGGGGGCAGCAGGGGGAGCAGGGGGAGCAGGGGGAGCAGGGGGAGCAGGGGGAGCAGGGGGAGCAGGGGGAGCAGGGGGAGCAGGGGGAGCAGGGGGAGCAGGGGGAGCAGGGGGAGCAGGGGGAGCGTAGGGAGTGGGGGAAGTGGGCAAGGTGCGGCTGGGAGGGCAGGTCTGAAGTTTGGCGGTCTGAGACACTCCAGGTTCGCTGCTGGTAGTTCTGCTGCTGCTGCTACTGGTGCTGAAACAGCTGCCGCTACAGCTGCTGCTGCCTCCAGTTCGATTGCAGCTTCTGCTACAGCCGCTGCTGCTACAGCCGCTACAGCTACTGCTGCGTCTTCTGCTGCTACACCCGGCCCTGCTCGTCCAAGACCTGGCCTCCTCACCTCCACCGGACCAAACTCGGGGCCTGTTTCCGGACCTGTGAGCCCCGGACCTACCGCAACCGCCGTGCCTCTGAGCCCCAAGCCTCGGTTCCCGGGCCAGTCCGAGGGTCGGGTGTCCAAGGGCCGGAAAAAAATGGAACGGGAAATCGCGAGGCTGCTGGCTCGGGAAGACAGTGCGTCGAGAGAGCATAGCATGGAGCACGGGAGAGGGCACGAGCGAGGGCTGAGCACTAGTAGCAGCGTGGATGGTGGGCAGTGGGAGTCTATTCCATACCAGTTCCCGTCCTCGCGCTCCCTGGATCCCAACCAAGGCAACCACTACCCCAGCTTCCCTTCTTCTGCTTCTGTTGACGGTGGATACAGTGGTGGATTCTCCTTCGCGTCTCCTTCTGTCTCTGGTCCTGCCTCTCCCCCTCCTGCTGCTTTTTCTGCTGCAGCTGGTGGTGCTGGTGTTGCCGGTGCTGCTGGTAGTGGCGGTGCTGCTGCTGCTGCTGCTGCTCCCACTCCCCCCCCGCGCGGCCCTCCCCCTCCCCTCCTCCCACCACTCCATCATCTCCCAAGCCTCCTTCGCCCCCTCCCCTCCTTCCCCTCTCCCGCCCCACCCCCGCCGCTCCCACTCCAAAACCCCCTCCTACGCCTCCTCCTCCCACGCCCCCCCCTCCTCCGCCTCCCTAACCCCCTCCGAACCCCCAGAGGAATTCCAAATGCTAGATGTAGACAATTTAGTCAACCACATGCGCACCGGGCCGCCCGAGGAAAAAGCCGCCGCCGCCGCCCTGCTCCGGGTGATGACCCGGCACGGGTTTGCGTGCGGGCGGCGGGTTTTGGAAGCGGGCGGCGTGGGGCCGTTAGTCGACCTCCTATGGTCCGACGACGAACCCACCGCGGAGCACGCGACCACTGCTCTCTTCAACCTCGCTCTAGAAGCCTCCGCTAGGATGCGTATCGTGGTTACCACGGGGAGTAGAGTTGTAGAAGGGCTAGTTCACGTGCTTTCTTCCGGTGCCCCAGCTGCTAGGGCCAACGCAGCAGCGGCTCTTTTTCTCCTTTCCCGCGACACTGGCGCCAACAGCAGTATCAACAGCGGGGCACGGGCCGCAGCCGAGGCGAATTCGTTTCGCGAGGCGGTGGTAACCGCAGGAGCGTTACAGCCGTTACTAGACCTGCTCCTAGACGGGCCCACCCGGGCCAAAAAAGACGCAGCGAACCTCCTGGTTTCCCTCTGCATGGCCCGGCCAAACCGATCCAGCGTGGCCAAAGCCGGTGCAGTGCGGTGCTTGTGTCAGTTACTCAGCGAAGGGGTGGAAGTGGTAGAAGAGCAAGCAGCGGCGGTGTTTGCGGCGCTGGTGAGAGATCCTGAGGGGAGAGAGGTGTTGGTGGAGGAAGGGGCGGTGCCAGCGCTGGCTGAGTTGGTGGAGGGGGGCACGCAGGGGCGGGCGAGGGAGTATGCGGTGGGGACGCTGCTGGGGCTTGGCGCGAGTAACAGGGAGTGGCTGGTGGCGATTGATGAGGAGGGGATTTCTGCCTCGGTAGATGTGCTCACACGCGTGGGGACAGGGAAGACACAGGCCAAGGTGAGTCACAACCAAGGGTGGGAGGGGATGGAACGGTCGCAGGGGCGGGCGAGGGAGTATGCGGTGGGCTCGCTGCTGGGGCTTGGCGCGAGTAACAGGGAGTGGCTCGTTGCGATTGATGAGGAGGGGATATCTGCCTCGGTAGATGTGCTCACACGCGTGGGGACAGGGAAGACACAGGCCAAGGTGAGTCATGAGTGGGGTTGTGAGCTTGCCTGATCCTGCTGTGAAATCCCACTTCCATTTAACCAATGGAAGTGGGGATTCGCATATGCAAGCATGCTCTTCCTGCTACCACCTCGCCTCCCCTTCCCCTCCCACACCCCCCCCTGCTTCTCTTCCCCCCTTCAGCCTGCGGCACTGCTGGAGCTAATCCGGTCATGCCAAGCACAGGGGGGTGGATAGAGGGGGACCGGGTTGCAAGCGGTGATGATACTGGTTGATGCAGGCTCTCCCTGCTGCCCACTCCCGTCCGGTTTTGAGAATTCTCAAAAGTGACTCCCCTCGGGTTTTGAGAAATCTCAAAAGTGATTCCTCAATAGAGGGGGACAGGGTTGCAAGCGGTGATGATACTGGTTGATGCAGGCTCTGCCTGCTGCCCACTCCCGTCCGGTTTCACCTCCTTACCCCATCTGCTGCTCGTTTCCCCTACCAGGCCGCAGCACTGCTTGAGGCACAGGAGGGATAGAGGAAAGGGGGACTGGAGGTGACTTTTGAGTCGACTCAAAAGTCTGCTTGAGGAACAGGAGGAATAGAGGAAAGGGGGTCTGGATTGCAATTGGTGATGTTGCTGGTTGATGCATGCTGCTCTGGCTACCCATTCCCATGTCACCTCCCTGCCCTTCCCCCTCCTACCCCCTCTGCTGCTCGTTTCCCCTACCAGGCCGCAGCACTGCTGGAGCTCCTGCGGTCGTGCCAGGCACAGGAGGGTTAGCGGGAAGGGGGGGGGGGGGGGATTTCGCATATGGTGATGCTGCTGCTTAATGCAGGCTGTTCCTGCCCACCCCCTTTCTTCCGCTTCCCCTTCCTCCCTCTGCTGCTCTCTCTATCTCCACCAGGCCGCAGCACTGCTAGAGCTCCTGAGGTCTTGCCAGGCACAGGAGGGTTAGCGGGAAGGGGGGGGGGAAGGGGGGTTGGCAAGAGGTGATTGTGCTGGTGGTTAGAGGGAGGGGCGATAGCAACTGCTGGAGAACCTCAAGTCGTGCCATGCACAGAAGGGTTAGAACTTAGCTGGAAGTGGGGGGGTGGATGGAAAGTGGTGGTGGTGCTGGCTTGATGGGTATGTGTGATGGTGGTTAGAGGGAGGGGAGTTGGCATGTGGTGGTTTTGTGGGCTCTGGATGGGGCGGGGCAAGTGAGGACTTGAGCGGGTTTGCGTGTGTTGTTGAGTGTTGCAAGAGAGAATGCCGTTGGTTGGTGGACAGTGGAGGAGTGAAGGTTGTGTTTCATATGAGCTATACGGCACAAAGAGGGCGGTACGGTACGGTACGGTAGTGAGCGGTCGGTAGGACAGGGATCGGATCGGACAGAGCAGGGTGGTGGTGGTTTTGACGCCTGTGCTGGTTGTCTTATTTCTATTTAAAGTACAACGACGCGACGACTTGTTGACTGTGGACCTGATCGCGTACTTATGTTCATGCGTGCCTAATGTTGTATGCAACGAGTTACCTTAATCACCCGGATATAAGACCCTAGGGTCTTATGAAAACTACGGGAAAAAAATGAGGGGGGTCTTTGTCAAATGTGGTAGCCTATAGTGAGGTTTGTCTTAGGGAGTACAAAAGTTAGGGTTAGCTACTTGTACCCCAACCAACATGAATGCATCATCAATTCCTCAGTTTGACATGGTATCACCTAGGTTCGGATCCTGTGGGATCCCGCTCCTCCCGTCCTCGTTCGTTTCTTCCGAGCCTTTCTCACTCGTTTCGCCCGTCTTTCCTGAGCCTAGTGCCGGCCCGATCTAGTCCCGTTCGTTCGTTACCGCTCGTTCTTCCTCCCGATCTAGCGTAGCCCAATCCAGTGTAGCCCGATCTAGCGTACCGCTGCCCGCCGCGCTGCGCTTCCCCCCGCTGCCCGTCGACCCGCGCTTCCCCCCGCTGCCCATCGAACCGCGCTCCCCCCCCCCCCCCCCCCCCCCCCCCCCCGCTGCCCGTCGAACCGCGCTTCCCCCCTGAGGAGATTCACTCTACAACGGTAGTGAGCTAGACTACGGGGGTTGGCACAAACCACTAGGAGTGATCGTAGCTTTGCTTGGTTCCTTAGTGCTTGCACATTCGCGGGAGAATTTTGCAAGAGTTTCCACTAGCAAAGTTGAGAATACAGAATCATTCAACAAGCAAGCACAACAATGACTACATCACGCACCTAGCTACCCTGGTTGACCGCCAGCACTGCATGGTCGACCGCCTGCCAGCGTTGCGTAGAGGAGCCGCGCCAGCACTGCAGAAGAGCGACCTGCCAACATTGCAGGTCGACGACGTGCCAACGCTGCAGCAGTGCGGCTGTCCAGCGTTGCTCCGTAGAAGACAGCAGTGCGCACGCTCACAGGTGCGCGCAGACGATTGGCCCGACTTGCTTCGTTGTGCATCCGTCGGCTATTGTCTGCGACTGACGAGCCACATCGACTTCGGGATACCAGCCCGCAGTCGCCTTCGCCATCGCGACCTCGACGACGTTCGCGTGCCTCCGCAGAACTCGTCGAGCAGGTTACCCGGTCGACCTGGACACCACCAGGTGCTTCCGGTCGACCACCACTGCCTCTGGTCGACCACCAGGTCCCTCTGGTCGACCACCAGATGCCCCTGGTCGACCACAGCTCCCTTCGAGCCACCCCCTGGTCGGCGGACCCCTTCCGTCGACCAGAACTGCTCCGTCGACCTCCCGGTCGAGCTGCAGGTCGACGGGATGCTTCGCAGACCTCCCCGTCGAACTGTAGGTCGACGGGATGCTCCGCAGACCTCCCCGTCGAACTGTAGGTCGACGGGATGCTCCGCAGACCACCCTGTCGAGCTGCAGGTCGACGGACCGATCCATCGACCTCCCGGATGGCCCACCCGTCGCCCAGGCCAGTCAGTTGCAGCTGTCGAGCTCCCTGGTCGACAGCAACACCACAGCGGTCCCCTGCAGCTCGACGTCGCTTGTCGAGCAGCTCTCCCACTGTGAACGGTCGGCTGCTACTCCCGTACATCCGACCAAGTCGTCGGCGTTGCCCAAGCGAGGGCGGGGCCAACACTCCATTCCCGTTAACACTCCCCTGCCGCGCTCACGCTTGGGCCTCCAGCCCACACGGCAGTACTTCACGGAGAGAACTCGTCGTCGGCGTGCACCCCACACACAGCACGCCGTCACCGCACCAGCCGTGCAGAAGGGCACGGCACCTACTGCTGCACCTCATCGTCGCCGTCGCCGACGTCGGCTAGGCGAACTTGGCCGATGGCGACAGAGCACCGGTTGAAAGCCGGAAAATGCAGCGCCTTCGTCAGGAAATCGGCCGGCTGCTCGGTGGTCGGGATGTACTTCAGCGCGAACTTCCCGCGCCTCACCATGTGCTGCAGCCAGGCGTAGCGTCGCTCCATGTGCTTGAGGTTGCCCGTCAGCCCCATGCCCTCAGCGACAGTAATCGCCGACTTGTTGTCGACGCGGAGGATGGTCGGCTTCCCAGCGTCGAGCAGCTTGAATTCCGCAAGGAGGAAGCGGAGTCGGCGTCCCTCCTTGCCTGCATCCGTCGCCGCCACATATTCCGACTCGGTTGATGCGCGAGCTCGACCAGGAGACGGCGGCCCCTCCGAAGACGAACACGTAGCCGCCCGTGCTCGTCCGCTTCTGCTTGTCGCCCGCGTCGTCGGCGTCCACGTAGCCGATCAGCTCCAGTGACTCTGGTCCACCGCCGAACTCCAAGGCGGTGTCGCGGGTGTCGGCGAGGTAGGCGAGGCAGCGGTCGACCTCGCGCCAATGCTGGTCGCTCCTCACCGTGAGGCCGTTCCCCAGCTTGCTGCAGGCGAACGCAATGTCCGGCCTCGTCGTCGTCGCCGCAAACTGCAGCGAGCCGACCTTCTGCCGGTACTCCTCCTCCTCGCGCTCCTGCGCCTCCTCGTCGTCGAACGTCAGCTCGGCGTAGGCGTCGACCGAGACCGGCGTCTTCGGGATGCGCCCGCCTTGCTCCTCGTCGATGAAGCGCCTGCGCAGCTTGTCGGCGTAGCCCTGCTGGTGCAGCCACAGCTTCCTGGCCGGCCTGTCGCGCACGATCTCCAGCCCAAGGTACTTCACCACCGGCGAGATCTCCCGCAGCTCGAAGGCGGACTCCAACTACTCCTTCAGCTCTTTCAGCATCGCGGTGCTGCTGCTGGCGGCGAGCAGGTCGTCGACGTAGACCAGCACCCAGCAGGTCACTCCGTCGTCGCCGGCCTTGAAGTAGAGCGCCTCGTCGACCTGGCTCTTCTTCCAGCCAGCGCCCAGCAGCACACCGTCGAGAGCCCTGTACCACAGCAGCGGCGACTGCTTCAGCATAAAGGCTTTTCAGCAGCTTACACACCCGGCCGGTCCCATCGTCGAAGTAGTCCGGCTGGTACATGTAGAGCACCCTGTCGAGCTTGCTCTGCAGGAAAGCGTTCTTCATGTCGAGCTGCATCAGGTTGAGGTCGAGGACGGCGACAATGCTGAGGAAGATCCTCAGCGTGACGTAGCTGCTCACCGGCGAGTACGTCTCGTCGTAGTCGGCGCTGTACACCTGCGTGAAGCCCTTCATGACCAGCCTCGCCTTCTCGCGCTCGACGGTGTTGTCGATGCGGTACTTGGTCGTCAGCACCCACCGGTTCTTCATGATGTTCACTCCGCGTGGGCGTTCGACCAGCTCCCAAGTGCCCATGCCGATGAGGCTGCGGATCTCTTCTTCCATGGCGGCCTTTACCGCCAGACCCTTCCAGCTCGCCAGTGCCTCCTTCACCGTCATCGTCGCGATGTCCCAGCGGTGTTCGGGGTCGGCATGCACGTCGGGGTCGAGCTCCGGCAAATCTGCATCCTCTTCGGCGTCGTCGTCGTACATCGTGGTGAAGGCAGCTGGTGGCAGGCAGGCGTGAGCGTGATAGCTCAGCTTCTCCGGCGGTCGTCGAGCTCGACCAGACCGTCGCAGCTCCGGCGCAGGCTTCTCGACCGGAACCTCCACCTCGGCGCCACAGGCGACGCCTCAACGCTCCCCTCATCGCCGGCGGCCGACCCAGGCGT